CGACCACAAGAGATCCACAATGACGGGCCCGCGACAAAAAAGAGCGGCTAGCCGCCCACGACTAGTCGCTTCAGTGGGTTTTCAGCCTTAGTCTTGAGGGAGAAAGAGTAAGACAAGTGTGGGGAAGGAGGTCTATATCCATATATAGATGTAGGGCTATTATAACAGCCACAGTTCCCTGCGTCTGGACCGCTATTTTTGACAATTGTCCTATTGCTACATGCTGAAGATGAGACAGAATTTTCCCCTTAAATTCTGATATCTGTCTAAGAAAGTACATGGTATCACACTCCAAAGGACAGCAATTTTTCATTTTAAATTTTATTGCAGCCATGCTCTTAGCAGAAGATCGGGGCATTATGTCCCTTCGAAACTTTTGTACCGAGGCACCAGGCTGTGCAGTGTACTAACCCAGAAGGCTGCAATATGTACTGTACATGTTGGCTAAACCGGTAATGTTTCTGACTTGTATGAGGGTGTTTGAATCTTAGCCAAGGCACCGGGCATTTTGTCTGGAAGTTTTCGATTGTTTTCTTCAGTCCCTCCAGGCACATTTTGAGATAGTACCTCCAATCGGACCATAACCCCTTCCTTGTACATGCTTTTCCATTCGTTGTTCTTTGATCATACTGTCTTTTGCTTAATTAAACGCTATTCCATGAAGGCGTATGGGGGAGAAGAGGTATAGCTCCACCATTCTCGACTTCGGCATTAAATGGAGATGAGCGGTCAGCTTCACACCTTTTGCTGCTTTACCCCCGCGGAAAGAGCCCTTAGTACCCACTGGATAAGAGGCCGGATGGGCCCGAGAGTCTGTCTAGACGCTGTGGAGAAGAAAAAAAAAATCTTGAATCGCACCTGGGCCGTCCAGCCGGTCGGTATACGGACTGAGCTATCCTGAGTTACTGAAAGCGTTGCTTAACCTACCGCGTACAAATAAACAAGCCAGAATATGTATTATACCAGGTAATCCTATTTCCTTGGATGAGTGTACGAACCATGACGCACGTGATGAGAAGGAAGTAAGTCAGCTGTATTGCACACCACGTGGCTTATCAGACAGCTCAGCTAGGATCACAGCGCTGTGTTAGTGCAACGCGTGTCATGTACCTTACTGGGGCCATCTAGGCCTGGTTGCAGGTCGAAGACCTTATTTTGGAAATGGCTGTGAGTACGAGAACAAGTAATAACTTAATTTTTCGC